GCCTGGGCCTGGGCCTGGTCTAGGTACTGTGCGAAAACTTAAAGGCAGCACATAGCTCCTCTGAATGAAAAAATACAAGGACTGTAGGAAATATAAATTGTTTAAGGGAGGCAGTTTACCAGGCAGAACACCATCCTTTGCCAGATATTAATAATTAGTAATAGTGGGCTGGCAAGATAGCTCAGCGGTCTCAAGCGCCTGCTCAGGCAAGCTTAGGCAAGCACAAGGACTGCAGTTCGATCTCCAGCACCACATGCCGTGCCAGCCCCATCCCTAGGGTGGGCTGAGATGGCCACATACACACACAAAAAAACCATATATAACACACAAATAAAAATTAAAATATATATATATATACACACACAAAGCAAAAAACTGTCGAGTGTACTTTAAAAATTAAAGATTACAAAAGAGCAGATGAATTCCTAGGAACGCTAATCTTAAATCACACACATCTGTTGAGCGCACAAAGGACTGTTTTCCTGTTATCTTTAACACACAGCATTGCTTTTTACTCAGCCAAAGTCCTTAACTATGCTTTAAAACTGAAATCCTGGGGCAGATGACTGAGGAGGATCTTCCTAAAGGATAACACACACCAGCCTATTCCCACACAGACTACATGACACAGGAACGTGTTGAGGAACAGCCTCACCTTTTGGTGTCCTGAGACAGCAACAATGAATTTACAAACATGGAGCAGAGGAAAGATGTGGAGGGCAGCACATGCGCCGGGGTGTGGAGCAGCTGTGGGGAGAGAGAGCAGCAGTGGAATCTGAAGATTATCCTCGGACACAACGTGTGTCTTCGCTGTCCTGAGTATCGCTATTCTGAGTGCTGAGACTCCAACACAAAAGGCTTTCCTTGTAGCAAAGCCAAACTGCAGAAAACGATCTTCTGCTTTTCTACATTTATGCAAACACTGTCTCCCAAAACCCCGGGTCCAGCCAAAAGAATCCCAAATCACCCCAAATCACGAGGCTAAGTTACTTCATCTGGATAGTATACTGCTACACAGTGAACCAATGATTACTCGAGAACTAACACATTTTGTCTGCTTCACAGGGTTTGCTCTACGACTCACCTCATTAATTGCAGGTATGTTCTCTGTTAAAGGGAGATGCACCAGTTCATTCTCTAAAGTTTCACTGAGCTTTTTATCCTGTTGTTGCCTGTGCTTTCCCAGTATGAAGTAGAATGGGGTTGTAGGAAGGCTTTCTTCTGCTAGCAGCTACAGGGAGTTAAGACAAAAGGCAAATGTCTCAATAAAAAGGGTGCTTTCGACTCAGTAATAAGTACTAGAGAAAAACATCTGCGATGGAAGGAACCCAAGAGATTACTTAGTATGATTCCCTTTGGCACGAAGGTCCAGTCTCTCACTGACTGCAGGGAAAACTTACAATGGCTACTCGGATGACAGCCAAGTCTGCCACTGCTTCTTTGCCTAATTCTACAAAAAATGACAGCAGAAGCACTTCCCAAGGGCATAGGCTTGCAATGATAGAGGAATATGTTGGAAGGATGGACCAGGTTAAGGAATGATTAACAGAGCTGAGAAAGCCAAACTCTTAAACTGTGGGAAAAAGCTGGCAGCTCCCCAATTCACAGCACAGCGTCCTACAAATGCTAAGCAACTGATATCCAGGGAAGGGCGTGCTAAAGATCCAGACTGGCTGGTGGACATCACGGGGGTGATCCAGAGCCTCCCTCAGCCCCAGCAGGGGCCCAGGTACATGCCCTGGTGGACAGAACAAGGGTGTTTTTAGACTAGCTGCCGGCAGGTGGTATCATTTCCACAGCTGATGGTGGCTGTCCTGCAGATGGGAGACTTCTCAGAACCTTGGCAGCAAGGTTTGAATCCTTGAGGCAGGAGCAGGCGATGTAACTCAGTGGCACAGACCCTGCCTGGCAAGGGTGAAGTTCTAAGTTTGATTTTCAGTACAAAAAGAAAAAAAAAATCCTTTGGGCAAGAGTTTAAGTATAAGATTGATTTGACCAGGCTAAGAGATGAACACTAAAACTAACAGAGAGTTCCTTGATGACAGTCCTTTAGATAGGGCAGGGCTCCCACAGGCCATCTTTCACACAGCTCTGTGTCTGTCCCCTTTGTGGTAAGAGCAGATGGCCAAGAACCACTGGACTCTGATCAAAATCTATACAAAGAGAGCTACCCAAACAGACCAAGGCAAAAATCTGATGGAAACGACCACGCAAGAGGGGGAAAAAGATCTGCTAAAAAGATGTGGAAGCCATCCAGAGAACAGGAGAAAAACACCTCAGCACCACTGTAGAAGGTGCAACACTGAAGAACACCGATGGGGAAACATTTGCTGCTTCTTAGCTGTTTCCTGCAAACTGCCCAAGGGTGCCACACTTCACTCAGTGCAGTGGTCTTTGCTGCTCCCACTGGAAGTACCAGAGCCACCTCCTTGGCCTCCTTTCACTGTCCCTCCCTCGCCCCAGGATACTGCTTCCCTTCTCAAAAAGGAACACATATTCTACTTAATTCTTATTGTTTAGTGCCTGTATTACCTGCAAACAATAAAAACCTCCAGTTTAGATTGGACTGTTTTGCTCAGTAATGGATTCCAAGGGTCAAGAATAGTCCCTGGCCTGTGGAAGGCACCTGACCACACATTCAGTGAGTTTCAGGAGGAAAATAAGTTCTGGATGAAGGACCAAAGAACAAAATGGCATAGGACTTGTAGTAGCCCCGGCAGCTGTGAAGTAGCAGAACAGTATCTTTCAAGCGCTGAGAGAAAATGCTTTTTAACTTCACAACTCTGTACCCAACCAATCCAGAGGACAGAATAAAAACACTTCCAAACATGTGAGGTCTTGCATCTACCTCCAGGCACCAGTGGAATGTGCCTCACCAAAAAGCAGGAAGTGACTGTAGACAAAGGAACGCTATGTGGCTCAGCAGAGGTGAAGTGATCTGGGGCAGGAGGTGAACACGGGTCCAGGACGATCATCATGAAGGACACTCAGAGCACCAGTCCTGCCAGAAGCATGTCAGAATCCTTGGGGAACATTTCTTTACAACCTACAGGGACACCTAAGGGGCTGTAATTTACAGAACTTCAGTAACTTGAAGAGTCTACAGTTGACCTGGGGGAGGAGGAAATGAAAAAGGCAACTGTCTTCCCTGGAGGAAACACAATGTTGGTCACAAGAGGAAGAGTGATTTGTGTGACGACTGCTTGGCTGTAACAACAGATGCTGACCAACCAATCTGTCTCTCAGGACATGCAGAAGACAGGAGGGGACTATGGCTTGGGGGTGAGGCATGGTAGTTCAGGCTCCAACAGCTTCAGGACATCAGCCCTAGCCGACCACGCCTAAAGCTGAACACTTCTCAGTAAGCAATATAGGTATGTTTTTTAGAAATACAATATTCAATTAAAAACTCCAGCCCTTCCGCCACAGCAACCATTGAAAAAGAGTAGCCATGGCCCTCTGCTATCCCATGGCTGTGGGCCTCAACAAGGGCCACAAGGTGACTAAGAACGTGAGCAAACTGAGGCACAGCCGCCGCCACGGACGTCTCACCAAACACACCAAGTTCATGCGGGACATGATCCAGGCGGCTTGCGGCTTTGCCCCCTACCAGTGGCGCACCATGGAGCTGCGCAAGGTCTCCAAGGACAAGCGCACCCTCAAGTTCATCAAGAAAAGGGTGGGGACGCACATCCATGCCAAGAGAAAGTGCCAAGAGAAAGCGTGAGGAGCTGAGCAACATGCTGGCCGCCATGAGAAGGCAGCTGCCAAGAAGGACTGAGCCCCTCCGGAATAAAGCTTTGCAGAAAAATAAATAAATAAATAAATAAATAAAATAAATAAATAAGTAAAAACTCCAACTAACAGTTGGGAGGGATGATCCTCGTGGCTGTGGCGGTGGTGTGGGGAGCTTTTCTACAAAACCTGCATTGTGCAGCTGCGAGTCCATAGGATGTGGCTCCAGAACCCTCTGTGGTGCTATGGTTGAGGGTGCTCGAGCCTTTTCTACCACAGAGCCAGTACTTCAGTGTAACCCCCCACCACAGCTTCCTATACTTCAGCACGGTTTTCCCGAGTATTTTCAATCCACAATTAAGTGACTATTTCAATCTATGGATATAAAGGGTAATTGTGACCCTGCAATTTATAATCACTCATTACTGATAATATCAACTGAATCAGCTTAAAAAGCACGACTTCAAAAGAGGTGCAGCAGTCCCTAGGTGCATGCTTTTAACTCCACCCCAGGTAGACAGACGCCTTGCGGCCCTCCCAGCTGTGCCCCGCGAGGGAGGCGAGGCAGCCCGCGCTGTGAGTGGCTGGAACGCACCTGTCTGCTTGTTGGTGTGAGCTTCTCTTCTGGAGACTTTGTACTGAAGGTCAGTAAGCTCTGAAAGGAGATCAACTGGTGATACCAAAGATATACTGCACAGTGCAAATCTAAATAAAGTCTTTAAAAATGAGGTACATTTTTAATTTTGATAAACATTTGCTCATAGAAAATATTTAAAATGTGTTTAATAACCTCTGTGATAGAATCGTGTTAAAACTTAAGAACTGGTGATAAAATTCAATTGGCAGACCAATCTTTGTTTTTTAAATGTATTTGGTACAGTGCCTCATTACGCAGCTCGGACTTGTAGTGATCCTTGTATTTCAGCCTCCCCAAGGCTGGGATTATACTCGTGCACCACCACGCCTGGTCTTGGTGGCAGGTTCAGCATGCCTGGGGGTGGGGCCAGCATGGCACAGGGTGCCGAGATCGAACCCTGGTCCCTCTGCTTGCCAAAGCCAGTGTCAAGCACCAATTCTTATAATGGAAAATTCAATATCAAAACCACCACTACCACCAGGAATAATGCTAGTAAATATAATTTATATAAGTACTTTCATTACCTTATGTCTTCTTGGGCCAGAGCTAATGGACCCAATGCTCTTTACCTGAACCATTCTTCCTAGCAATAAATCCAACCACCAGTCACAGAATCTACTACTCCTTAAAAGTACAAGTACCAAGTGGTCACTTCTGTAGAAGGAACAATTACCTGTGATTTTGTTAGGAAGTAGAACTGGGATCTGTTTAGCCACTGGTAAGCTTCAGAGGTGAATGATTCGGGGACGTCTCGGGGAACAAACACTCCCCACTGGACTTCTTCTCTAGAGATATTCTTCTGAATATACAATGGCCTTGGCTCACTAGGTTTAAATACAAACACTGGAGGGAAAAAACAAATAGTGACACTTTGCCTGCAAAGTTAGTTCTAGCCTCACCTGCCAGACCACACAAATCCTGGGTCTCACCTCCCAGTAAATGGGTCAGCCCATGATACTATCTACTGAGCAAGCCTAGTATGGGCCAAGCAGGCTGAAGGGACAGCCTGGCTCCAAAGACCAAGAGCTACTGCAGAACACAGCAAAACACTGCTGAATTATTTTGCCTTAAGAACCAGAAAAAGGGGCCGGGGAGATGGCTTGGTGGAATAATCACTGTCTTGGCAAGCGCAGGGGCCTGAGTTCAATCCCTGGTTCTGCCAAAAGAAAAAAAAAAGAACCAGATCTGCAGAAAGTGTTCCAGAAGCGTAAAGGGCCAGTTCTGGCTTCTTAGGGGACTTGGGAAAGCACCAAATGGATGAAATCTCTACTGGAATTGTAATCCCGAGTAGGGCTGGGCCTGTGGGAAAATAGGGATGTGCTGAGCTCACGTGGAGCCCAGTATGAAGGGCCTGCATGTGACAAGGCGTGGAGCAGAAAGGAAGGGGGTGGCCTCAAGCAAAAGGGCGTCGAGCCAACACGAGTTGAAGAGCAGTTTGAGTCAATTATGCTAAAGACATTAAAAAAAGGCACACAGGCTATGAATCTCCTTCAACGTTGAAACTGTGGCTTATACTTACAATCAGAACCCTCGGAAGACTGAGAGACTGCGGCGATGTACTCTGAGAGTGGGTCCGGTTCCATGACTCTAACACTTAACTTTGCACTCCACTCCACTGCGGGGCAGAAAAGGTGATTCGCTTCAGCAAGGCTCCCACAGGCTCTGCCAGGCTTATAATTTGGGGTGAAGGTCTTTTGTCTTTATTAGAACAACCAATTCTACTGTTTTGCTTTTCGCAATAAAAATGGAGCTACAATGAAATAATCTGGCAAAGAGGTACTGATGTGACGATTAGGAAACAAAAAACACAAATGTACCTTCTGTATGTCTGCAAACTGTACAGATGTTACAGTTCATGGAAACTCATGTCTAATGCTTTAAAAGTGGTGAGATGTTAACCACAGCCACTGCACAGCACAACATACACCTATTCCTAAGCAACCACCACACCTTGCCAGCCCTCAGCTGGGCAAAATGTCCCTGAATTCACACTATGAAGAGGAACTGTTGCAAACTCCATTCAAATTTATCCCGTTAGGGAAACTGCAAGCTAACATGCCTGGAAAGTAGCAGAAGTACTTCCCTAGCTGCTATGAAGAAAATTATGGTGGGCAACAGAAGTTACACACTGCGAGGACTGGGGGAGGAAGGGCGGACAATCTAGTGAAGGCTGACTTCCTAGTAAGCAGGCGGTGTGCAAGTGCGCAGCGCCAGGCCACAGCTTTAAATTTTGGTTCTGTGTGTCGTGAAGAGTCATAATGTGTCTAGATAGAGTCATGAAGGTATGACGGACTCCCAATTCCTAAAATTCCGACACTTCGTAGCAACTTCCTCCCTGTGCTCTGCAAATCACTTACGGACACAAGTGAGCAGGTTCCAACAGCACACAATCCCTTTCTCCGTGGCACTCAGAAGGTACCTGGAGCACGCCAATCTCCCGAAGCAAAGGTGCCTAGGCGAAAACCAGAGGGGAGTAAGCAGCCTTCGAGCCGAGCACGCTTAGTTACAGGGACTCTGCCTTCCACGCACTGTGTGCATCCCGTGCGAAGCAGATTTTAAAAGACATTTATTGTTTTGTTATCCTTACACTGAGGAAACAACAAATAAGGAACATAAAAGGAAAGGTTTATATAAGCATTTTCTTTTGGAAAACAGGTCAGATGATTGATTCTCTAATATGCTGTGCAGGACAACAAGCAGCATGTAACAGAAATGCATGTAAAACGACAAAATCACTTAGGAAAAACCTTGTACTCCCCCTAGAAGATGAAAACCTGCCATCTGAATATTGACAAGTTTTATAAAGTAAATTTAGAAGCAGATATGCTGGGAATCAGAGAAAATTTTTTTATCTTTTTGCTGTGCTGGAGGTTGAACCCAGGGCCTCACGTATGCCAGACGTCCTCCACCACTGGGCTAACATCCCGTCCTGTTGACAATTTTATTAACCATCTGCCATTCCGTCTCTATGCCTGGCTACCTGAAGCACACTGGGAGATAGTGTTATTTTCCCCTCCCCTTCTCAGAAAATAGCACTTGATCTTCTGTATTTGTGAATCACCCCTTTTACCCGGAGGAGCAGCAGTCTGGACCTTCCCAGGCCTAGGCCCGGCCTCTAGACTACGCAGCACACGGTGGCAAGTGTTCTCGGCCTATCAGGAAGTGCTGAGCCCGCCTCTGGAGAGCTGGCGCACAGTTCACGCCCTCGGGAGTCGGCAGCTCTCCAACATCTGGCTCGCTGCTCGCTCCCCTCACCTGCGCTACTGCTGGGCAAATGTCAATCATTACTGAGGCTAACGTTTTATTAATAAATTAAGAAACACTACACAGTAGCTAAGCGATTCACCTACCTTATCTTCCCAGCTCGATGGCAAAATGTACATTTCAGTTCCCACGTTTCTGAATCCCATATGGTAATTATTTCTTCAAAACTAACTACTAGTAAAGAGCCATCTTCAGAGAAACAGCAGTCAGTTGCCTGATACTTGTGATAGCTACCGACAAAGTCACAGGTCCAGCCGACAGCTTTTTCTGTGGAGATACGAGCATACGTTAAAAGGTGGCATAAATGTTAGACAGCATTACTGGACACTGAGCGCTAAAGGTTAAGAAAAACAACCTGCTCAGCACAACTTTAAATTAGAAATGCTGCCAAGAAATGTGGGCCCTTCCTCTGCAGGCCTCGAGCTCCCCCTAGTGGAGCAGGGCAAGAACCAAGGGCAGAGCCTTTCCCTGTACCCGCCCCCAACTTAACTGGTGTGTGACTAATAAGAATACCAATTAAAATGTACAGATTTTTGAAGAAGAGCATGTAAAAATGTAGCCCTGTAAATCTATTAAAATTAAGCAATTTTAATTGCTATAGCAATTCATCAAGGTAGACAATGTTCTTCTTAAATGACAAGACAAATATAATGAATTCTTAAAACCACCACTTCAGCACAATCTCTTTAATAAACTTACTGTATATATCGGAATCATCTGTCAATATCCACACTTTGAAGTGACCATCTTTGCTAGCTGTAACCAAGGTGAGAGTTTCACATCTTTCCGCATTACAGAAACACAGAGCTGTGATCTGGTCGTCATGTGGCATGCTAATCTTTGTGTTAAGGACAAACCTAGGAGAAACCACATAGTATTCTTACATCAGAATATAGTACGCTGTCAGACTGGCCTAAGAATTCATTGCATCTTATGCATTTGACAAAAGCGTCTTCAAGAAGGGCAACTGAGGGGCTGGGGAGATGGCTCAGTGGAATAAGCGCTTTCCCCAAGAAGGGCAACTGATGCATCATCCCAGAATTTTAAATATTTGAGTCCGCTATAATGGTCACAGGATGCGAAGAGTTCTAACATATCTCATGATTTGTGTGACTTATCAGAGATTATTATGTATGGTAGTTATCTTACTGGCACAAAGTGAATTTAAAATAGGGGCCCTGAATCATTTTTGAAAGCGTACTGTACCAACTGCCACGGGAAAACTGCATAGAACCTATGTCTACTTCTGACAGACAAAAAAATGGCAGGCCTGTGCCAGGTCCTATTCATAGCAAAAAAATAAAGAATGAAAACGACCATGCCAACTGCCCTAGATACTACCTACTATTTTCAGTCAACATTCTCCAAAAGTTTGTTCCCAGATTAGAGGACAGTGCTATAGACAAGATGCACACTACCACTGAGCTCTTAAGGATATCAGGATTGCTCAGTGTCATGATTTCGCACTGGACAACAGGTTTATCTTACGTCCTTCTACAAAGTGATAAAAAGCACGAGGCCCAGTTTTTGGCCCACAGCAAGGAGCTAAGTAGTTACTGAAGTGTGGGAAACCTGCGGGCTCCTATCAAATGACACATGTGCTACACTACCCCTATGTCCCCACCAGGATGTTAATGGAGGGAGCCAGGGAACATCTGGGTTCTATGCCTAGGTGGGGACTGTATCCTCAGGAGTGCCGGTGTCACATTTCATTATCTACACAATAAGATGACGAAATGACTTGGAAAACCCCATCGGATTCTCAATACAGAAAGCTTCATTAAAGGCTTGATCAGAAATAAAACCTTCCCCATCATATTTTTAAGTGTACAACATCAAACTGAAACATCTTGAAGACTGACAACTAGTCATAAAATAGGAACTCAAATATATCATCTGAAATTCAACGTGGCTGTGCAGGCGACTTTACCCTTGTGTTTTCTTATTGTATTTCCACAGTTTCATCTGCAATTCAAGCTCAGATTCCTTTTCTTGCCGTTGTTCCACCGTTGCCAGCCAGTTACCAAAACAGCCAAACGCAGCCTTTGTCAGCTCAATTTGGAATAAGCCGGAATCATTGATATATTCTTGCTGCACAATATCTAACTGATGTGTTAAAAGTAATTGAAAATGCGTATTACTGTAAGCACCAGGTTAAAGCACTCAAGGAAAACTGAGAACATCCAAGACAACTTTTAGAATCAAAGTCACAGATTCTTACACAACAGGAATAACTAACCAATTACTACTACAGACAACAAATGTGCTAGTACAAGAGGACACACTGCACAGTACCAGTCTGGTAGTGATTATTCTGCGATGGCCTTAATATATTTGCGTTGGCCAAGACCCACCGGTGTGATTCTACAGAACCTTTCACCTAAAGCAGCGCTTTTCTCTAAGAAAGAGTGTCTTCCCATGAAATCTGAAGGCTAATTCTTTGTCAGTAGAAACAAGAGCTCAGAAATAACCTCTCAGCCTTTAAGGGGGTGGGGGTGAGGGTGGGGAGAAAGGCAGTGGCCTGGGCAGGCCAGTGTTTTATTTATGAGTTTAAAAAAAAATCCTTTTTCCTTCCACATGTATTCATAGAGTGGCTTCTAGATGTACAGGATCAGAAGTGCTCCAAGAATTCAGGTTTTTACGCAGTTTGGGATCGCTTCTATGCTGCGTCTTGGGGCTGGAACCCAAGTAGGGGCAGGAAGCTCATTTGTTTTACACATACCCTGCAGGTAACTGCAGATGAACCAATCACAACTTAGTGTGTCCGCACTGCGACACAATCCATTGCGGGAGGCAAGGTGTGGAATCGGCGTGTGTTACATCGGGGCTTACGAAGTTTCGGATTCTAGCACATTCTGCATTTTCTGACTAGGGTTGCTCAACCTGTATAGTGCACACCAAGGAGCAGGCGTTCTTTTTAGGGAGTTTAAAGGACACAGAAAGAGATACAGTGTCACAGTTACTATGACACAAATCTGTCCTGAGCCCTGTGAGGCCCAAGGAAAAGGCAGGGTGGCACTGCTCAGGACTGTCTGAAGGGCTCCTCTTCAATCTACAGCAAAATGTTATCTCTAGCCGAAGTGGGACCGTCCCCCTGCACGGTAGATATGGATGTGCACTGTCAACCCATGCCATTTCCTTAGCCTTAGCACTCAAATGCGTACATGCAGGAGGTGCCAGGGGTCCGCGCTCTGAAGCAAAGAGAATGGGGCAAGTGTAAGAGCGCCCGGCTTCCACACCACCACAAGGGTGGCCTCGGAGTCACGCTCCCTGCAATCCACTAACCACAGGGAGCACCAGTTCAGGGCGGAAGACTGCGTACTGGAAGCTCCTGAACAAATTCCTTGACCTCAGGGCTGCTGTAAAGTATGTGCATTAGGTTGAAGTTTAGGGACTAGAATCTTACATTGTATAACTGCTTATCACTCTGGAGGGAGTAAAACTGCAGGTGACCAGGTTTTCCATTTAAAACTAAAGCTTTAGTTCTTGGATCAATCATCAAGCCAGTCAAGATACTTCTATCTGTAAAAGAAGTGACAGACTACAGGTGAAGGCAGAGAAACACGTAAAATACATGTAATGCCAGTAACTCCAAGGACTCTGCAATACCTTTCACCAGGCCTTGAATTACTGCCAATGTGTCAAGGTTTCGGTGAATAACCATTATCTCTGTGGGTTAAAAAGAAAAAAGCATTTAGACATTCACAGGTAAGAACTGGAAGGGGAATTCATTCAAGGTGTATTCAATTCATTCTGAAACAGGCCAAAAGAAGAAAGAGCCCAGTATGTTCACCAAACCTGGCAGTGCTACTGCAAAATCAGGACCTACATTTTGTGGTTTGGTTTTGAGAAATTAAGGGTGGACATGGGAGCTTTTCTGTCAGAATGCTTTAAGGTCTCCAAATTGTTGTCTATGGATATTACCATCATCTACGGTCATCACAGTGTTACTTCCATATCAATAGTGATTCTAAAAGCTAGCTTAAATGTGAAGTCACCATTCCACATGGTTCCGCTCTGAAGGGAAAGGAAGCAATGAGCTACAGGATCCCCGGCGGCCAGGCTTAGGCTGCTGGGGGCAGGACCAGCACAGCCGCAGGGGCTGCGAGGGTGCCTCTGGTCCTACCAAAATCTGTTAAGACTCATACATGGACCCGAACAGCTGGCTCAAAAGAGAATCTCACAAAACACCAATCAATGCCTGCTTCAAAACCCTGTTTTTACTTTCCCATTCTCCTGTTTTAAATCACTCTGAAAATAGAAATGGCAGTGATGGCCAAACACAAGAGCCCTTTATTTGCATAAAAGCAATTCTGAAAATAGTGGCTTCAGTTGGGATCTTGAGGCAGAGGTGTGGAGAAAAGAGAAGCCCAAGAGAAAGTGCCCCCATATTGTACACTGCTGTACTGTATCCGGGTCTCTCCCGGCCACTCCTGTGAAGCCCCTGATTCAGGGCCCCACCCACACTGCACTTCCTCAGAGCACAAATTCAGACTTACTGTTGTCGGAGTGAGAAGTGCAGAACAAGTCTCCGGCAGGGGAGACAGAGATGTACTCGATGGTAGCTCCCAACCGTGGGAGAAACTCCTTGTTCTTCTCGGCCACCTCACGCCACTCCACTAGCACGCACTCCCGCCCGCCGCTCAGCAGGCTGGTACCTTCATACCCGGCCGGAGAGGGAGGGAAAGAGAGGAGGAGAGGAGAGGAGAAGGGGGGGAGAAGAAGAGGAGAGAAGAGAGAGGAGAGAGGAGGAGGGGACGAGAGAGGATAGGAGGAGAGAGGAAGGAGAGGAGAAGAGGAGAGGAGGAGGGGAAGAGAGGAGGAAGGGAGGAGAGGAGGGCAGGAGGAGGGGAGGAGAGAGGAGAGAGCCAACACATGGAAAATGCTCAGTATCATGAGTGCAAATCTAAAGAACCTCACTCTAGTCAATATGACAATTATCAAAGACAAATGCTGGCAAGGTTGTGGAGAAAAGGGAATGCATACACCCTGCCGGCGGCTAGGAAGCGGAATGCAGCCAATATGAAAACAGGTCGGAATTTCATCAAAAAGTTAAAAATGGAATCAGTATGACTCAGTAGTCCCCCTACTGAGCATAAACCCAAGGAATGAAGTCAGTTTATCAAAGAGGACATCACTGACTAGGTTTGTCCACACCTAACTCTACCTCCATGAAACATTTGAAAAGGCTGTTAGCAGGCCAAAAAGTAGGTCACTAAAAGGACTTGTCTTTCATTACTAAATGTCAGTGGCTTTCACAGGCAAGTTATCACATTAGGACCTAGTTCCTACCGTACATTACTAAGTTTACATGCAGTCTGTGCCCTGATTTGCAGAGGCCATGGCAGAGAAAGGGACTGAAGAGCAAGGGAAGAAGAGACAAGCTGGGGTGGGGCGGCGGGTGGAGACAGACACTGCTCAGAGCGCCCAACACACACGCACACCAGCACATGCACCAACACTCCTCAGCACTCTGGCATGTGGGCAGGCATGCAGGACGATGGAGAAGATGAGGGAGGAGACTGCGCTTTCTGTCTGCAAGGTTAATTCCTCTCTACTGTCCTTCTGGTCTGTGGGTCACAGTGGCACTTCTGCTTCGCTACTGTGTTAGGCTGGGTTTCTCCTGCGTACATCACACCAGCCCCCACTCCACAAGTCCAAAGCTTGAGCAGGGGCAGAAGATGCCTACCATTTGCCCAGGCTCCCAATCCCATGAGTTAATCCCAAGTACACCCTAAGGAGCCAGTCAAAGCACCTGGTGCCATGGAAGAATTGTACTGTCAGGCTCTGGGAAGGACAATCACTTTTGTGTTTTCAGTGTTTGGGACATGGGTATGAGGATTCAAAGTAACCAAAGACACAATGGACTTTCTCACATTTCTGTTGTACGCAGAATTTTGAGAAGGTACTTACAACCACATTCCTATGCAACTTATATACAAAACATCTGAATTAATTTAAAAGTTTTTAAATGAGGTGACCTGTCAGTTAAATACCCAGGACCCAGTCCGCCCTATTAGCCATGCTACCTTGGGCTAGGCAGTCACCAACTCATTTCCTTCGTCTGCACGAAAAGGACTAAGGACAGCTCTTCCAGGTCTAAGGTAACGATGCAGACACTCAGCTACGTGCATCTGACGACCTGACAGAGCGGAGCAATGGTGACGGACTGCCACGGAGACGAGCATTTTGGCAGGTGGAGCAGAGCTTAGTTAAGTTTACTATGCTATGACTTGATCACAAAGCATCTACTCTAGGAATCTGAAGGGCTTTGCAAAACCTGCCCCATACAGTACCGTGCTAAGCGAAGTGCCAGGCACCTGGGCCACAGACAAGCGTTTGCCATTCATTTGGCCAACCAAGTTTAAATCTTTCAAATCAGATAATGCAGTGAATTAAAATATGTAATCTGTGCACTTTAAAATTACATTTTAGGGCCGGGGAGATGGCTCTGTAGAATAAATGCTTCCCTGGCCAAGCGCAAGGGCCTGAGTTCAATCCCAGATTCTGCCAAAAAATAAATACATAAATAAAGAAAATTACATTTTAATTATGAAACCAACACTTACCCGTCACAGAAAAGGCCAAATCCATAACCATATCATGGTGCCAGTGCAAACATGTGTACGTGTATTTCTTGTCATCATCAAAATTCCTCCTATTGGAGAGAACAACAATCTTCATTTTAGTACAGGCATGCCAAACGTAACAAATTCTAACAGCAGGCTTTCTGGTCATGTGCAAAAAACGCATTTTCATTTTGAACCATGGTCCCTTCTGCCAAGAGCACGTCCAAGTGGTTCCCCACTACTCAGTGCCATCATTTTTCCTTGGGATAAAGGCTGACAGGAAAGTTCTCTTCCGTGAAATGATTGCAGGCAGCACAGACTTTTTCATTCTCCCCAGAAGCCGAAGGCTGGGAGCCTTAAGACAGCAGGAAATGCAGCGCACAGCAGTGACAGAAATGAAGGCGTCAGCGAAGCCCACACTCTACTTCCAGCTCTGGGTCTACATCTAGTATGGACTCTCGTTCTTGACCCAGTGCTGGCCTGGCCTGCCGGATGAACAGAGAACAGTATGCAAGGGACCACCATGCTCGCTGTTTCACTGACCAGAGACGGATCTTGCCATCCATGTGACCAGAGGCGATGCAGTCTTCTTTTGGGTGGCAGGCCACACATGTAAAACTGTTCCTGGCATGTTTCTTATTTCTTGATGATGATAAAGTATACCTAGGAGGAAAAAAAAGTCCCCTAGGTTATTGAAGTTTCCTGAGAAGGACTCACATAGTCAAGTTAAAAGGCAGTCCCAAACCTTAACAGTCAAGACTGGAGAGTTCTCAGAAATCAGTAAATATAAAGGTAGAAGTTTTAACAGTTTTGATAAAGAGACAAGCATTCTGCTTGCGAACATACGTTAGTACACAACATGAATTGGATGTGACCAACATCCCACCGTCCCAACTTGCTATGGAAGCCAATCCACGTAAGTAATGAAGACAGCTCTTAGTGGGTTTTTAAGTCCAGGAACTACTTGTTCAAATTTCTCACTGATTTAAGTTTGTATATGAGGATAAGTCTTGCAAACTACATCTGAGACAAGTAGCTAGTATGTCTACAGGAATAAATTCAAACTGATAAAGCTACTTACCATAATATTGAGACTATTTCCTCTTAGCCTGAGTACCTGAAGACACTAGGATCCTGACATTGGCCAGGAAATAATAAATATTAAGACAGCAGGGCAAACAGGAAGAGGAGAGCGCATCCCCAGCAGTGCTCAGCACAGTCTCTCTAAGCACCATTATCGTACTCAGCCTTACAACTCTATAAGGTGGACATTATATCTACTTTAAGTATTTCTTAGTTTGGAGTATAGTGGGTTCATATGGACCAAATCTGATCCATTTTAAACCCAGGTATCTCAGTTACTCTTATTGCGAGGACAAATACCTGACAGACACCCAAAATAACAAAAGGAAAGGTTTATTTAGCTCACAGTTATTGGAGGTTTTAGCCCAAACTCAGCTGGCTCCAAGGCAGAGCGGCACACGGCACAGAACAACATTTTACGGCAGTGGCAATACCGGCTACAGAGAGCAAGGCTGTCTCCCTTAAGTGGCATTCATGCTATCCGCTCCAGCCTAGTTAGCACTCACACCCATAAGCCCAGTGGATCATGAACCAATCACACATTCTAGAAGTCCGCCCCATGACTGCATGAAGCTCTGGAGGGGCAACTAGACACAAACCTTAACACCAGGCATGCCGAAGCTTAGATGCATGCCTATACCTGAAGAACGTAGATGAGAAGCACCTGGTGAAGTCTCTTCACTCAACATCTAACACCAAGTACACAGATTAGCATGAGGGGCCTGGGCTTTGGGCTAAGAAATGCTCCTGGGTTTGCTTCAACGCACATTTCCCCAGCCCCAGTCCACCGTATACCTCTCTACCTTTTATGTCCTTAAAGTCAAGTAACATGAAACTGAAAACATCTTTGGACCACAGGGTGACCAGGATGAAGTACCACTATAACAACCTCTTGTGTAAATAAAAAAGAAGTTAACCAAAAGGAATTCTTACCTTGAAGTTGTTTTCTTTTTGAAAAAATAAACTGTCAAGTAAAAGTCCCGGACTGCAGCAACATATTCTCCCTGGTGTTTGAGAAAGAGGATAACAAAATAGTCAGTTCTCATTAAGACTATATTAATGCAAAATGATATATTGTGCTTTGGCTCCTGAAAGGATAATCTTGCTTTTAAAACAGGGTGAGCTCAAATCCAAAATCCTGCAATTACACTCTGGCTTTATGTATGGTTTATATGTCTTTTCCATGAGCCATAATTTACAAATAATACAATGCGACCTCTGGCCCGTTTGCCCACATAGCCTCTAGCTCCTTCAAGATGATCCAGTCTTGGGGCCGGGGCGATGGCTCAGTGGAATAAGCGCTTCCCTGACAAGCGCAAGGGTCTTAGTTCAATCCCCGGTGCCGCCAAAACAAAACAAAGATGATCCAGTCTAGAACATTTTCTCTGTCCCCAGAGACAAGGCTTTGCACCTCGTCAGTCGCCACCCACGTCCCACCCCACCCACAAGCACTCCTATGGGAACCCGTAGAACGCCTCTTGGCAGTCTGTGTGTGGACGCTCGCTCAGCACTATCCTTTGGGGCTTCACCCAAGCCTGCATGCACTGTCAGCATGTCGCATGCTGAGCACCATCCACATTCCACTGCATGTGTACACACGAGTACACACACACACACACACACACACACACACACACACAGTCCTTGCTGCCTGATGACTGTCCGGGTCACCTGTGTTTGGGCCGCTGTGAACAGTAATCATCCCTGTGCACGTCACTTTGCGGGCATGCTTCTATTCGTCGACCCACGAGTGCGATGGTGGCACACAGCCACTTAACTTCCCCCCACAATTAGTGCTTCTAGTGGATGCGTAGTGGTATTTTGCCAAGGTGGTTTTAATTCACTTACTGATGATATTGAAGAGTGAAGATTTTAACAATCTTTTTAAGAAACGTTAAAAAGTTGATCTTGGAAGCTTTCCAAAAGGACAAAATAATGCTATAAAACTTAAGGCTAAAGAAACATGCCATTACAATGATTGTAGGCTCTTTTGATTGTATTTATTTTTTTTTAAGAATTTTATTTGTGTGTGTGTGTGTGTGTGTGTGTGTGTGGCCAGCTCAGCCCACCAGGGGGCGGGGCTGGCTGGCATGTGGTGCTGGGGGATTGAACCATAGTCCCTGTGCTTTGCTAAGCTTGTTCTAAGTAGGTGCCTTAGACCACTGAGCCATCTCACCAGCCCTTTAATTTTAAATCATAAAGTAATTACTGGCTGGGGATACAGCTCAGTGGCACAAGTGCCTGCCTAGCAAGTGCAAGATCCTGAGTTCGAGTCCTGACGAAAGGAAAAAAAAAAAAAAACTTGCAGAAGATGATTACATAAATCAGGACAAAAGGAGTTTTGATTATGGTTCCTTCTGGGAAAAGTTACTTTTATATGTGTAAAAGTTTAGAAAGGAATCTTTTTAGTGAGACTGCAAATTTTGTTTCCTCACTAGATTGTTCTATAAAATCTGAATTTTTATAATGGCAATGCTCTTCTTTTTTTTTTTTTGCGGAACCAGGGATTGAACTCAGGCCTTGCGCTTGCCAGGGAAGCGCTTATTCCACTGAGCCATCTCCCCGGCCCTGAATTTTTATAATGGGCATACTAATTATGGATAGAGGCCATATTTTCTAAAGGCACACAATCTAAAACGAAACAACCTGAGCAGCTTTTGTATGGGACAGGCAAAGAAACTCAGTACAGTCATCAAAAATGGTTATTGTGTGGAAAACTGGAGGGTTTACAGGGTAAGACAACATACAAAACAAAGATGGCCCTACAAAAACTCACACCATAAATAATACTCAAGCAATGAGAACAGACCTCTTACTTGACAGCAAGCTATACTAATTCAATAAATAAGGCAATCTAAAATCATTCTACCACACTGTGGTCTGAGGAGACTGCAGGGAAGAGATTTGTACTGAAATAGGAAACGAACAGAACAAATTTACCTCACGTCCAAAGGCAAGGCACTTGGGGGACTGGTTTATGTAGTCCAAAACGAAGGACAGCTCCTTTGCTTCTACTTCCTGGCTTGGGGACTTGGGCAGTTTCACGGACACCAGCTGAAAAGCATCTGGCCAAAGGAAGCAATGTTATTATGAGGTTCTCTGAAGGAGGAGACGCGGACATTTATCACGCGGAACTTTAAAAACCCGTACTCTAGAACGCCCAGCTGTAACTCAGGCCACCGAACAAAGCGTACCTGGCCGCGAGACTCTCAATATGCGTGGAGGTCGAGCTCCGCAACTCACATATCCGAGGATAAGCCCCACAGAAACCGAAACCAGCTGAGGCTTAACGCGGGTACAAAGTGCGGGTGAACACTGAGGGGAGAGAGCAGCCGAGGCAGCGAGCCTACTCAAGTTTTCAGAGCTGTGGGCCTGGCACACCATCCACGGGGCAGGTACTTCCTGGACGCCTACATGCGCTTCTCCTCAAAGCCCTTTAAAAACATTTCTCCCTAAGATATTTTTGTTTATTCAAGAGTAAAAGTAAGTCTTTCAACAACCTACAAGGCAATAAATGAGCTACACTCCCTTGGCTCTCCCCGGAAGAGCCCTCTTGCTCTTCTGTGGACCTCAGGAACGCTTGAAGCACAGTTTATTTCGCTCCTCCTCTGGGCCTCCCTGACCACTTAAGTGTTTCTCCCACATTGCCCCCGCTCCCCTGCCTACTAGTCTCCACACGTTTTATTACTAGTTCCTAAGGGCTCGGGTTAGCTTACTGCTGGGTCTTAGGGTCTATTTTGTTCCTTGCACACAAAATGCTACCTGGCAGCAGTAGGTGCTCAATTAGCTCCTGAATTATTCTATACTATGGAGTCAAGACATGATGTCATAAAAGACACCATGTAAACAAAAGATTCATTTTCTTTTTAACCACTATAGTATTTTTTTCAGATACACAATGTTCTGTCACAGGCTGTGCGGTTGTGCAGCTGAACAGCACAGGGCACGAGTGAAGCTGGGTGGCGGCTGGCTTGAGGGAGTCTCATGCTCAGGAGTGGTTCTGGGTCTTAACAGTCAGACTCTCCACGACAGGCGCCCACAGATGTCAGGCCCCGAGAAGTTGCACCAGATCCATTGTGCGGCCAGGTTAGATCACAACGGGACCTCAACCAGGTCCCACCTTGAGAATCTTCCTATCCCAGTCCACCGGGTTAAAAATTCCTGATCTCACAGGTCTGGATGACAGGTTCTGTCACAGTGCTAGTAGCTACTTCTCAACAGGGGAGGTTACCAAACCATGCTGATGTGAATCAGCTGCAAAGAGATTCCTGGACTATCCCAGGCCCAGAGTTTCTAGGGACCATGTGCGCTGGTATTTAAAAACCATACATTTACTACATACAAAGCAACTGAAGTCAAAGAATGGTGGCCGGGGAGATGGCTCAGTAGGATAAGCGCATGACTGGCAAACACAGGATCTGAGTTCAATCCCTGGTTCCGCAAAAAAAAAAAAC